CTAGCCCGATAAATATAACCAGTTACCTATTGTTATGCAAATTAGGTTATTAAATGCACAATAAATGTATACCAGTGATTGAAAAAGGGAATTAGAGAGACTCATTCATCGTGCTTATTTACAAATCGCTTTGTTCTTATATTTCATCATCAACAAAAACACAAAATGTATATTGTTGTTGGCGAATATGTTTGATTACATTGTTGTAAATCATTTAGACATTTACGAAAGATTCTTCAATAATTAAAAGATGAATTTTGAATTTGCGTACACATTTTACACAATGGCATTTTCAAGTCCCTTTTGCATATTTTGATACCTTAACGTTGAGGTCCAAGTTATAATACAATTAGATAAAATATATCTTCGTCATTGAATGTTTCTTTGCATCTTCCTATCATGTAATTTATAACAAAAAAGATCAGAACAGATGAGAAAATTTGATCTTTCATTTAATGCTGATATTACCAAACTATGAAATATCAAATGTAAGTTGCTTGTCTAACAGGCTACTGTTACAGTTAACACCAACCTGTGATCTCATTTAGGTTCGTACAGGTATCTGGCCTGAAGTCAGATTCATCCCTGATGTGCCTTTGATGACCAATCACCAGGTCACTAATTTACCCATGACGGATGATTTTTGGCATCTTGCTGAAGTTTCCTTTCCCTAATATTGACCGTTTGTACTGGAGAACGTATCTGAATATATACTGCTTGACCCAACAATAACTTAATTATGATCCGCTGATCCTTTTCTGCTTCTGCATTTGTGTTCTTTGTACTGAATAAAATTTAACTTTGTTTAATATTTTTTCAAATGCTAAAAGAGCATTTATAAATCTATGATCGAAGATTTGTGTCAACAGAATGTTCACCCTGACAACACCTTCGTTACGTATACTTATCAGATTAACCGTAATCTTCTTTTATAACACCATCTGTATTGACACATGCATCTTTAAATTTGACATCAGGTAAAGACGACTAGCGTTGTTGGAAAGATAATATGTATTAAGATATCTGGAGAAATACATCGGTGTATGCTTTTGATATTGTACGGGAGGTATTGAGCTATACCTTGTGATGATTGTCATGTATGTTTTGGTAGTTTTAACTTACTCCAAAGGAGATACACCAGTAGAATGTTAAGTTATATCAAATCATTTTTGCAATAGTTTGTTATTATTTTTCCCCTATTTTAGAGCAAGTACTTTACCTGATGGTACCGCTAGAAACAAACAGTGAACCGTAGAGAGGTAAGAATAGAGTACATGGTGATTGCCAACATCTTTGCCTAACACACACAATATTACCATTTCCCTATTGTTGTGCAAATTAGGTTCCTAAAGTCATACACAGGGATTGATAAGGGGACTAGATATACTCATTCATTGTGCATATTTTATATACCACGTTGTTCCTATATTTCAAATTATTTAGACATTTTTTTAAAATTCTATAAAAAAATGGAGGTAAAAGATCAATTATGACCTTGCCTTGCATATTCACCTTATAGCATGGCATTTCGAAGGATCTTTTTTAACTTTAATATGATCCCAATTCATTGATAAATGCATTGTTACCAATTTAAAAATAATTGTGTTAATTTGCCCATTTTCATACCTTAAAATTGAAATCAAAATGATCGTACAATTATGAAAGAAATATTTTTATAATTGAATTTTGCTGTGCATTTCCGGTGATGGCACATTTCAACCTATATATCAGAACAGAGGAGTAAATTTGAATTTCCTTTTTGTACTGATATTACCAAACTATGAATTTATTAATTTTATAATATGAAAAATAGAAAATGTAGTTGCTTGCCTTGGAGAATACAATGACAATTAACATAAACCTGCGATCTAACTTATTACGTACAGCTGGGTTTCTAATCTGTTTTGTTTGCATTTAATAACTTGTACCTTATTTTAATAGAGTTTCAAATGTTAAAATAACATTCATAAGACCATGCTCAATGATTTGTATCAAAAGAATGATGCCAGTCTGAAAACACGTACTAAAACATAATTATTATCCATAAACTTTTTTAATAACACCTCTGGCATTAACACGTGCATCTTTAAATTTCGCATTCATTTGTTTCGGCTCAAAGACGATAAGCTTTGTTGAAAAAAATAATATATGTGAAAATATCTTTAGAAACGCTTGTTGGCATGTTTTCAACATCTGTGGAAAGAACAGGTATAATAAATAGGAGTCGATATTTAGATTTGTCTCTCTTTTGTTTTCTCTTATAAATTGGAAATGCCTGATCTAAGTTCAATGATTTGGTGATTTCTCTGAGATCGCCGGAAGTGGTATTATGTTTATCCCGTTATTTCTTTTGTGTATTTTACTAATCCAGAGAACCTATAGTGCTGTTTTTCTGTATATCGTTTTACTGCACATAGCATGGGAGGTGTGCACTATAAGGATCAAATCTTCAGCTTTAGACATGGGCGCCCGCAGGATTTTTTGCAAAGAGGGGGCTCAGGAATTTTTACAGAGGTATCAGGATTCTTTCAGCGGGGATGGGGGTCAGTCAGTCACGGCCAGGAGATTTAATATAAGAAGCAGTCTGAAACTAAAAGCAAATATTTATTAAGCGTTTTGAACAGAATCTTGTGATATTTTTTCAGCTTCATTTACATGATTAAATTTGGTATATATATATATATATATATATATATATATATATATATATATATATATATATATATATATATATATGTAGTACGATTTCCAGGGAGTCAGAGGTGTAAATATATGTAGAGGTCAGAGGTGTAAATATATGTAGAGGTATATAAAAATGTGTGGACATTATTCCTTCTTGCTATCCCGTTCTTTGTGATAGAATTGGTTAACATAATGTTAATTTTAAATTTATTCTAAAATTCTCGAAAGTCAGACCTGTGTTACATGAAGTTATGCTACCAGATAGAATATAATCTGTTTCACGTTAGACATTTTCTAAATGAATAGACAAGTTAAATTCAATTGTAATTTGTACGCATTAAATGATGATAAAAGTTCGAACTTTATAATATAGCGTAAGTATTATTATCATACACAGGTTAATGTAACATAAGTTTATTGTATTAATAATCAGTACAGCCGTTGTTTTGAAGAGAAAGAATATAATTTGTAACGACGTTAGATTTTTGATGGTCGCTGAACTCCGACGGGATTATGAAATCATGATGCTCTACTCAACAGCAACTTCGGTGATCTTTAATTCGACGGAATATACCAGAGTATACCGGAGAGATTTCTCAGCGGCCAGATACGTGTCAACTACACGAACTTATTCCTGAATCATTCATCGTGAACTGCGGATATTTACGCTGGTCACAGATGTCTTATCAGATAATAGTATACAAATGTGGATGAATAAGATTGGGCTTTGCACCAAACTTTTAGTGTCATTATATGTATTGCAATCTCGTGTTCCATCGTATACGTTGTTGAATCCAGATACTAATCAAATTTGTTGATAAATACAGACAATATTTTTATCTCATGATAAATTCTATGCATTGGTAATTCTTTATAATTACGAAAATACAGAAAACACATAAAAGTACACCTTTTCTCTGGAGGTACAGAAAGGATGTTTGCTTGAAATGGGGGAAATCAGCAGTAAGTGATGGAGAAACTCAATAAAATTATTAAGTGCGCATCCTAATATAGTAATATATTTAAACGTCACCTGCTTTTAAATGTACCTGTAACCTGCACAAGATTAATAAAACAAAGTTATAAATTTTGACTTAAAATATGACATTTTTAATATATTATAGTCAAGGTGAAATGTCCAGAATCGACTAATGCCAACAATGAACCTTGGGACGGGTGTGACTTAAAATGACTTAATTTATTAGACTATATACTTGCACGGTGTGGTCTAAGGTATTATTTTGCTATGTGGGTTCTTCTTCTTTGGTGGAAAGGCTTGAGAGTGTTCCAAAAGTTTGTACTGTTAACCATGTACAGGAGTTACAAAATAAATCAAGCTATACTTGTGAGGCAATATAAATCAATATAAAGGCTAATGAGTGGAGGCACTATCAGCTTGTATATCATTATCATCCAAAAGCATAACGACAATATCAAAAAATACAAAATGAAGACATATCAAACTCAGTCCATTTTTCTACGGTTCTACCTCCAACACCATTAAAGTTCTTAGAAGTTACATTTGTCAAATTAAAACCCATGACAAGTCAATCGTATCTACCGGAAGTGAGAAATCTTGTTAGGCATTTACAAATCTAATAACCTGTAATTAGGGCAAGAGGCATAATAAAACTAGTAAGGAAGAAATATGTATGTAAAATGGTGGTTACTTACTTTAAAAATCCCCAATAGCTGTAAAACACCGTGAAAACCAACGAGGTTGGCTACGGGATTTAAATGCCGCCAATTTTTTTTCCTTGAAAAATGGTTACTTCTCTATTCCTTTGCGGTTCAGTTCAAAGTGATGCTTATCACAATTCAGTTAACTTTGCCCAGCAGCAAGCCCCAACAAACCCAACAAATTATTGGCCAATGAAACCCATATAACCATTTAGGGTCAATTTAGGTGGCCCTGTCGGCTCAGTTCAATATCATGACAGAGTAATGTAATAAGTAGATCCAAGGAGTTGTAATCATTTTCAAAACATTGGAAAATTTGAAATGAGAAACAGAGATGCTTGCACTAAATAAATCATAACTGAGAATATTACAGGGGTGAGTGGTGCCTATGGTGGTGGTGGATTTTGTGTGTTTATTTGAATTTTTAACTTAGCTTTACAAACATTCAGTCGTTATGATGTCTGGAGTGTGACACTGTAAAGATATAGCACTAGGACTTCATGCCACAGACATATAGCATGATGTCCCACCCAGTCACACATTATCCTGATACCAGGCAGACCAGTCATAACACTGACCTCTTAATGTTAGGTGCCTAGCGAGGCAACTGTTTGTACAATTTTTATAAGCCTTTGGCATGACTCGGCCGAGGTTCTAACCCGCGATTTCCCGCATCCGAGCCGGACGCTCTAACCACTAGGCTACCGGAGAGGTCTCCATCATAGGCCACTTGAGCGGTTTGCTACATGTGTGTTTAATTGGAATAATAATACAGTACCTCAGACGTTGCCACAGCCTGAATAGACGTAGACTGATAAGCTGCTTGTAGGTATTCATTTTGTAAAGCTTCTGAAAGATGGGCAATTTCGTGCGGGTATAGATAGCTATTTCACTCCATTTGCAAATCCTGGACGTACGACATCAAAACTGAACAAGGTTGCTCTAGTTTCTGTTATTTCTTCATATGGTGGGGACAAGACTCTTGTATAAAATAACTGATATAAAGAACACGGTAGGCATTGTTGTCTAGTGATTGTGTGAAAAGTACAAAGAGTTTCATTGTGTAATCTATTTCCAAATGTAGGCCATCCGGTATGCATACAGAGTGCTTGTGTGCTGTACTTGCATATTTTGGTATACCAGAAGCTAATCTAGTTGCTTCGAGAAATCGATTTTCATGTTTTGCCGAATCGGCTATAGTAAATTATAAGAAGACATTTCATATTCATATTATGGTGTTGAGCAAATAAAACACATTTCGTTGCATTATAGTTTTAAAAGGCGTGCATCATTTTCTTCAAGTGCCTAGTACGCATTGAATCAGAATTTTAACTATGATATGATTCGACCAGTATCCATTTTATGCTAAAAGAAACTCCATGATGAGGATGATACATATGTTATAAATAAATAAATTTTACCGGAATATTGAAGTGTGTATTTGACGGATTAAAAGTTACTAGTCATATATTCAATCCAACATGTTGCGAGATGGCTCAAAAGATATCTTTGTCACGTGACGACAGAGATTTTATCTGACCACATATTTACCTGCACTTGCGACATATGATTCATTTTTTTGGCAATTTACATTTGTATGAACTTTTCAAGATGCAAGTTCATCCATACAAGATCTTTTCTGGGATTAGGTAAAATATTTTATTTATTTGTCATTTTACAAATGATTTAGTTTTAGGATTTTTTATGTATTCCGTTAAAAGAAAAGAGATTTTAAAAATATTGTTTTAGTATTTGAATAAGTCATAATTTAAAAAGAGAAGCTATTTTAAGTTGCATTATGCTGCTCTTAGTTTACAAAAGAAGAATACAACGAATGTGAGATGAACGAGGACGAAATATATTCAACTGAGTCATGTTAATGGACTGCATTGACGTTTTGAAAGCGATGACTTACGCTTTATTGTTTGCTACCTAGAAATTAGGACTTCCGTTGAATATTTTTTATTATTGTTGATATTTATAGTCATTTATAAAGTATGCATTATGATGTGTGAATCATTCATGCAATTTATTGAAGGAATAGAAGGAAAGAAAGAAATAATTTTAATTTCAGCGACGTTTTAAAAAAACACAAATTTTACCATAGAAAATCCGGCTTAAACTTCTTTCTGTTGGAAGCATAGTCACGTTAAGAAATAACACATCTGATTATAAAGGAACATTCTACATTAAATTGGAAGAAAACAAATTCATTGTTCGGTTAGGGAATTGATAATAAATTGGGGAAGTTAGCTGCGAATGTAAAAGTTTATGATAAAAAATAAAACATAGGCTACGTTATATGTTCTTATCTCTATACTGCATATATTATGAAAACTTCTGATCATAATTTCATGATGGAAAAAATAATCGGTTCAGGGCTGAGTCTCATCAACTCAAACGGCACACCCCTAGAGAGAGTTGTGGGTCAGCTCCGAAGCGTTCAAGGAAAGAGGATCATTTTCTAATGAGGGAACCGGTCGCAGTTCAAAACACTGGATATATATATATATATATATATATATATATATATATATATATATATATATATATATATATATATATATATATATATATATATATATATATATATATCCATTTGACATTGGATAAGTTTTGTCATTTGAAAAATTGACGCATAAGTGTTTGAAAGTTTTCTTACCATCCGTTTAGAAATTATTAATTTTGTTTATTTCCATTTTATACCAAAATATTTGGTGAGTGTTGTGATATTGTAATGTAATGTTGCGACCCTATTATTAAATTATATGTGTTGGAATTTTAATTCTTTTACTTTTTCTATTTTATTTTTATTTCATTTTTGTATCATTAAATATAAGTATTAATATGATGATGATTATGTTCGCATGGAAACAAAGTCAACAGTCGGAAATAGCTATGTAAATGATTGGCTATGACCGCGATCATTTCTAATAATACTTGTTGACATTCTTTACTGCCGTGGCGATATTTCGAAATCGCATGATTTCTTCATGCTTGTACATGAAATGACGTGTTGGTTTGCTTTAAATACTCAGGTACCTGCGTAATAGTCAGCCATAGTCGAAAGTCATATTTTAACATCTTAGAGAGTCACATCATAACATATTATAGAGTTTCTAATACCTTAAGGAAAAGGTATTCCAATGCTGGAAAGAGTTGTTTGTTCGTACGTTTGTAGAACAAGGTATTTTGTTATTGGTAATAGCTGTATTTCATCTACCTTTTAAAGAATAATTATTTTCCTCCTGGAAAACTACACAATTGGCTTTGGACAAAGACATTTGCTGAAATTAGTTCTTAATTGGAAGAGGACTGCTATTGTGATTCACAGTGAAAATTCTGGACACTTATGTAAAACTTTCGTCTGACGTCATCATCCGCCATCTTGGAACGGAATTGGGATGCAGGCCACTTTAATTAGAACTGTTTATTCACAAGACTTATGTGTTTTCACAATTTTAGGAAATATTTTTGGGTCTTCGTAAGTCGTAAGTTTTGTTTCATATCTCCGCATTTTCACTGTTTTCAAAGGAAATAAATTATTTTTGTTAAAATTTACAAAGCTTGTTGTCTTTTATCTCTTTTCTTTATGATACTTTAAACGAGCCTATATGTAACAGCACATTTCCGTCAATCTATAATTATTCCAATATAATGACTTACGTTCGAATTAAATGATAAATTATTCGGTTATGCTACTGTTTTAGAACGAATAACCTGGGGAGAAGATGTATTTATTGCATTACAAAACTGCTAAACATTCTAAAACCATTAAAGAACTCCAGTTAGAGATCTCAATGAGTCCATTCAACAATTCATTTGTTTACAGTTTTGTATGATTATTCATTTCTTCCGGATGGCCGAGATCTAAAATAAGACAGTTAATATTAATGAATGTGGACCCTATTGTCTATAATATTTACTTCAACAGGAATCGTTTTAAATTCAATATCTTAGCCAGCTGACACTATAACTGATCAAGGTATGTTTCAGAGTAAGGTTAGTTTCTTCAAAGACTTTTTGGACTAAAAAAACACGATGATAGAGATGAGTTAGGATTGATCCGTAAAGGCGATTTCCTTAGAACACTCAGCCACCAGGGTCACGAGGGGGATTGAAAAGAAATGTCACAAAGAAATATAAAGTTAATATTTTTATGGTCACTTTGGAAAGAGAATTCAAAAGGGTTTGTGTTAATTGAAGGTTTGTCTGGTATCAAGCTTTTAATTTAAACTGATCCCTGGTATTCTGGGTGACTTGTTTAAAATGTTTTTCTTTTTTTTTCTTCATGGCAGTTATGCCAGTTGTTATAATTGCATTCTGAGGACTGTCTCGAGTGTAACATGTAATCGTCGGATTGTACTGAATACACAATTGATAAAGAAAGTGCTATATTATTTGCTCTCGATTTTCTCAGTATCTATTAAAACAGCTATTTATAAGGTGGAAATGGTATGCTGTAGAAGTAGCATAGCAGATCTACAATTTACATCACTCTGTACAGATGAGTTTCTGGCAGATGTATATCTGAGATATGTAACTGCACATATTGCTTATAATTATTGCTATGTGTAAGATAACCAATCTATGTTAGTTTAGGATACGTAATTGCATATGTGGAATAAAATATAGTTTACCAGTTGGGTTTTACGCACATACCAAGTACACGTTGGTATCTTTACTAATATGTTCTAACCCACGCTGCAAGCTAATATTTGACATAATTTTCATGTTGATATATATATATATATATATATATATATATATATATATATATATATATATATATATATATATATATATATATATATATATATACCAAGAGCATATATATTTATATATTTATCTAGTAATGATCGATAATTAATTTTACGTATAATAAAGTCAGCCATTATTTGGTGTTTTAAGGCACGTCAACACTCTCAGAGTTATATCATGCATAGGCAAGTATAGTAATGTGCCTTGCTCAAGGGCACACAACTCTAGCTGACCATGGCTGATGCAACGGTGGAAGCCCAACCAATACTCTCTGCTCACTCATTTAACGACATTTACGACAATCATTGATACGAAATTCATTAACTTCGTCATATTTTCTTTTGATACAGCAGGTCGTGTTCTTTTGTCATAATCGTCGATCTCATGATAAGACCTTTCTTCACTTTTTGATACGGAATAGGTACTCTGCTTTAATTTCCTTTTAGAACATATTTCTAGTTATATTCACCATAAACCATAGCAAATAACAAAGTAGTTTTATACTTCAATGAAGAGGAAATATTATCCATCCTTTGTTTTTATTACATACCAATTTTATTATATGTCATTGATGTGGAATACAGTACGGATTTCCTAGTTTCATTTCAATGTCACATACGAAAAATATCCAGAACCGCATCCTGTTACAGCACCTATGTACCATATGCATCACGGATCAAGATTTTGCTAATCGTTATAAATATGCTTCCAAAATGTTGTTTATAACTCAAATAATGTATTTTATGTGTTTTTGTTTTATCTTTTTTTTTGTTTTTATTAATGGATAAATAATTTCAACAGCATTTGAAATTCATCTAAAGAGAGAAGCTAAATTAATATATAGGTACAGACAAATGACGTCCGCACAGGGGTTCATTTAGAGGTTTGTACTCTGGAATTTACATTTTGTTTTTTTAATTCTGTTTATATTCTGCACTTCTAAGTAAGAAAAGA